AGGCCAGGTGATGTGTTGTAGCTGTATGATGTGGGAGCGAGCTGATCCCATTGAGAACGGCAGTGACCACATCTTCAGCAAGTGTTGGCTGCTCGAGGAGCTCCGGCTCAAAATTGATGAGCTGGAATCCGAACTCCAAACACTGCGGCACATCCGGGAGGGGGAGAAATACCTGGATGCTGTGTTCCAGGAGGCAGTCACACCTGGTAGATTAACTAATGTTAATTCGATCGGCAGGCAGGGACAGCAGCGTGTGACTGCGAGTGCGGCAGGTAGAGGGACCCTGCAGACAGGAACACAGGAGCCGCAGCGCTTGACATTGTCCCACAGAAATGAGGCACTTGCTCCCTGCGTGGATGAGGAACAGGGCTGCAGGAAGGATGAGTCAACTGACCATGGCACCATGGTCCAGGAGGCCATTCAAGAGGGGGGAGCAAAAAGACAGATTGTAGTTGTAGGGGATTCCATCATCAGGGGGATAGACGTATCCTTTGTGAGCAGGATAGAGAATCCCGCATGGTGTGTTGCCTGCCCGGTGCCAGGGTGCGACACATCTCTGACCGGCTTGAGAGGATACTAGAGACGGAGGGGGAGGATCCAGTTGTTGTGGTCCATGTAGGTACCAACAACATAGGCAGGAATAGGAAAAAAAGACCTGTTTTGGGATTATGAGAAGCTAGGAACAAAATTAAAAAACAGGTCTTCAAGGGTCATAATCTCTGGATTGCTGCCCGAGCCACGTGCAAATTGGCATAGGGAGGCGAGGATCAGGGAAGTAAGCACGTGGGTAAACAAGTGGTGTGGGAAAGAGGGTTTCCTTTTCGAGGAGCAATAGCATCAGTTCTGGGACAGGAGGGATCTATGCCACTGGGATGGACTCCACCTGAATAGGGCCGGGTCCAGTGTTCTGGCGAAAAGGGTAAATAGGGTGGTTAATAGGACTTTAAACTAGTAAGTAGGGGGGAAGGGAGAAGTGAGCGTAGAGGGAGAAAAACAATTAATGTAAGGCAAAGCAGCAGGTTAGCAGGTGATGAGGAAGCTTCAACTCCATTGAAAATTAGGAAAAAAGTTAAAGGGAAGGAGAACTCAAGAGCTGTTAGTAATGGAGGTAATAGGACCCAAAAAGAAGGTGCAAAAACTGGCATAAGAGCACTTTATCTGAATGCTCGGCGCATTCGAAACAAAGTGGATGAGTTGACAGTGCAAATCATGGCAAATGGGTATGATTTAGTGGTCATTACAGAGACATGGTTACAGGATGGTCATGACTGGGAGTTAAATATCCAGGGGTATATAACTGTTTGGAAGGACAGACAGGAAGGTAAGGGAGGTGGTGTTGCTCTGATTTTTAAGGATGATATCAGGGCGGTAGTGAGAGATGATATAGGTTCTACTGAACAAAACGTTGAATCCATTTGGGTGGAAATTAGGAATAGCAGGGAGAAGAAGTCACTGATAGGTGTGGTCTATAGGCCACCACGTAATGACATCGTGGTGGGGCGGGCAATAAACATAGAAATAGCTAATGCATGTAAAAATGATACAGCAATTATCATGGGGGATTTTAATCTACATATCGATTGGTCAAACCAGGTCGGTCATGGCAGCCTTGAGGAGGGGTTCAAAGAATGCATCCTCGATAATTTCCTTGAACAATATGTAATGGAGCCTACGAGGGAGCAAGCTATCCTAGATCTAGTCCTGTGTAATGAGACAGGAATAATTAATGATCTCACAGTTAGGAATCCTCTCGGAAGGAGCGATCACAGTATGGTCGAATTTAAAATACAGATGGAGCGTGAGAAGGTTAAATCCAGTACATATGTCCTGTGCTTAAACAAAGAAGACCATGAAGAAATGAGGGAGGAGTTAGCTAAGGTAGAATGGGAGCAAAAACTTTATGGTGGGTCAATTGAGGAACAGTGGAGGACTTTCAAAACGCTTTTTCACAGTGCTCAGCAGAAGTATATTCCAGTGATAAAGAAGAACTGTAGGAAAAGTGAGAGCCAGCCATGGATGTCGAAGCAAATAAAGGAAAGTATCAGATTGAAAAAAAACACATACAAAAAAGCAAAGAGTAGTGGGAAACTAGTAGACTGGGAAATCTTTAAAGGCCAACAGAAAGCCACAAAAAAAAAGTTATAAAGAAAAGGAAGATAGATTATGAGAGTAAACTAGCTCAGAATATAAAAACAGGCAGCAAAAGTTTCTATAAATATGTAAATCGTAAAAGAGTGACAAAGGTAAACATTGGTTCTTTAGAGGATAAGAAGACCAATTTAATAACTGGGAATGAGGAAATAGCCGAGACATTAAACAGTTATTTCGTGTCAGTCTTCACAGTGGAAGACACAAATAACATGTCGAAAACTAATGGCAAGAAGGTTATAGCAGGTGAGGACCTAGAAACTATCATTATCACTAAGGAGGCAGTGCTGGGCAAGCTAATGGGGCTAAAGGTAGACAAGTCTCCTGGCCCTGATGAAATGCATCTCAGGGTACTAAAAGAGGTGATGGGGGAAATAGCAAATGCACTAGTAATTATTTACCAAAATTCACTGGACTCTGGGGTGGTTCCTGCAGATTGGAAAATAGCCAATCTGATGCCACTGTTTAAAAAAAGAAGTAGACAAAAAGCAGGTAACTATAGGCCATTTAGCTTAACTTCGGTAGTGGGGAAAATGCTTGAATCTATCATTAAGGAAGAAATAGCAAGACATCTGGATATAAATTGTCCCATTGGGAACACCCAGCATGGGTTCATGAAGGGTAGGTCATGTTTAACTAATTTGGTGGAATTCTTTGAGGACATTACTTGCATGGTGGACAATGGGGAACCTGTGGATGTGGTGTATCTGGATTTCCAGAAGGCATTTGACAAGGTACCACACCAAAGGCTGCTACATAAGATAAAGTTGCACGGTATTACAGGTAACGTATTGGCATGGATAGAGGATTGGTTGACCAGTAGAAAGCAAAGAGTAGGGGTAAATGGGTGTTTTTCTGGGTGGCGGTCAGTGGCTAGTGGTGTGCCTCCGGGATCAGTGTTGCGACCGCAACTGTTTACAATTTACACAGATGATTTGGAGTTGGGGACTAAGTGTGGTGTGTCAAAATTTGCAGATGACACTAAGGTGAGCGGTAGTGCAAAGTGTGCAGAAGACACTGAAAGTCTGCAGAGGGATATAGGTAGTCTCAGTGAGTGGGCAAAGGTCTGGCAGATGGAGTACAATGTTGATAAGTGTGAGGTCATCCATTTTGGTAGGAATAACAGCAAAATGGACTATGTTTTAAATGGTAAAAAATTGCAGCACGCTGCTGTGCAGAGGGACTTGGGTGTCCTTGTGGATGAATCGCTGAAGGTGGGATTGCGGGTGCAGCACGTGATTTAAAAGGCAAATGGAATTTTGTCTGCCATTGCTCGAGGGATGGAGTTTAAAAACAGGAAGGCTATGCTGCAGCTGTATAGGGTTGTGGTGAGGCCACACCTGGAGTACCGTGTGCAGTTTTGGTCTCCTTACTTGAGAAGAGATATGCTAGCACTGGAGGGGGTGCAGTAGGAGATTCACTCGGTTGATTCCAGAGTTGAGAGGGTTGGATTATGAGGAGAGACTGAGCAGACTGGGATTATACTCATTGGAATTCAGAAGAATGAGGGGAGATCTCATAGAAATATATAAGATTATGAAGGGAATAGATAAGGTGGAGGCAGAGAGGTTGTTTCCACTAGCAGGTGAAACTAGGACTAGAGGGCATCGCCTCAAAATAAAGGGAAGCAGATGTAGGACTGAGGTCAGGAGGAACTTCTTCACCCAAAGGGTTGTGAATCAGTGGAATTCGCTGCCCAGTGAAGTGGTTGAAGCTACCTCGCTGAATGTTTTTAAGGCAAGGCTGGATAAATTTTTGAACAGTAAAGGAATTAAGCGTTATGGTTAGTGGGCGGGTAAGTGGAGCTGAGTCTCAAAAAGATCAGCCATGATCTTATTAAATGGCGAGGCAGGCTTGAGGGGCCAGATGGCCTACTCCTGCTCCTAGTTCTTATGTTCTTAACTGCCCTCTGACTAACTAGGAATTGTTCATAAATACTGGCCTCACCAATGATTCCCATACTTCATGATTCCCATAACAACCTGTTCAGAGATGTTATTACACATCTCTGGGCGAGGGACTTGAATCCTGGCCTCCCAGTTCAGGGGTAGGGACACTACACAGTGCCACAAGGGGGCCGCCATACTTCATGAACAAATGAACGGAAAATCACGCCCAAGTGCAGTGCAATGTCCAATTTTGGGCAGCACAATTTATGAAGAAAGTCAAGGCCTTAGTGAGGGTGCAGAAATTTATTAAAATGGTGTTGAATAGGACTTCAGTTAAATGGAAAGATTGAAGAAGACTGTATTGTTTCCTTTTCAGCAAAGAAAGTTAAGTTGAAACTTAATTGGGTTTTGAGAGAGCTGGGAAAGAAGAAACCATTTCCAGTGACATAAGTATAAAAGACCTGATGACATAGATTTAAGGTAATTGACAAAATAACCAACGGAGAGTTGAAGAAACTTTATGTAATGAATTTTCATGATCTGAAACATACTGCTTGAAATACTGACATAATATTCAATAATAAATATCGAAAGTTAAAGAGGATAAACATTTTAAGAGGAGAAAATAGCATGGTTATTGGGAATGGACAGAAGAGTCGGACTGTTTGAAGGGGTGATAAATAGCTCTGGCACAGAGAACGAAAAAGCGCCTTCTGTATCATTCCAGAATTCCAACAAAATTATTTGATTACAATAATAACATTTTTCAAAACTGAAATCATAGTCGGTTATTAGTGTTTAATGAATTTTTCTGATTTGTTAACGTAAATATTTTTACTAGTAGATGACGACTCAAGAAACTCAAAAGAAATATATTTTAAAACTGATAATGGAACTATAATTTGCAGCTGTCTATGGGGATATGAATAAAACACATTAACATATAATTTTAGACAACAATACCTGAAGAAAGTATCTTGCAACTGATGAGGTAGTGCGGCAAAATCAAATGCGCAATATGATTGAGGAAAGACCACTTCCATGTTTCTCTTCACTTCCACTGGAGGATTCGTCATGATTGGGGCTGCAGTACCAAAAAATGGGTAGGAGTACCTGATCAGCAAATTAAAGGAAAAATTGCCCAGAATTAGGATACCCTGGTACCTTCAATGCAAAATAAGCAAACATGCAGCCAAAAGTTCCTCAACTGAGATCAAATACGTTTACTATAAAAACAGAAAATGCTGGAAAAATTCAACATCAGGTCGCAACTTTGGCAAAGTTGACATCTCGGGCCAATGACCTTTAATTAAAGCTGGTGACCACCAGAAACGTAACAACTTCTAAGCAGGTGCAGAGGCAGATATATGGAGGACTGTCACAATGTGGAAGATAGAAGAAATTAAATGGTAAAAGAGGTCATCATGCAAGACAAAAGAGGGTGGTAATGGGAAAAGTCAAGAAAGATATGTCCAGTGGAGGTACAGGAGATAGAAAAACTTTTGTTCAAAAGACAAGTGAGATCGGCGGTAATGATCTGAAATTGCTGAACTCAATATAAAATTTGGAACGGCTCTAACTTAAAGGTGAGGAGAGAGATCAGGGAGAATGTGGCAGAATCACATTACAGGTAACTGGAAGTCTAGGGTCACTCAGCTCAAATAAACCAGCCTCCCTGAGTGGAGGCTGGACATCAACGCTGACACCTCCTCTCACCTTCGCTTGAGAACGTGACCCACCACCAAACACCAAGCCTTCACTTCAATGACTGTCACTGATCTTATCTCCTAATCCCTATCATTATGTCCAACCTCCTAGTCACTGAAATTAGCACGACTCTGCACCTCCTTCACAGTGTCTTCTTAGAGTCATAGAGTAATACAGCATGGAAACAAGCCCTTCAGTCCAAATTGGTCCATGCTGACCATGATGCCCATTTAGCTAGTTCCTATTGCCCACATTTAGTCCATATCCCTCTAAACCCTTCCAATCCATTTACCTATCCAAATGTTTTTCAAATGTTCCTACCGTACCTGCCTCAACCACTTTCACTAGCAGTCCATTCCATATACATATCATTCTCTGCTTGAAGAAGTTGCCCCTCAGGTCCTTCATAAATCTTTCCCCTCTCACCTTAAACTTCTGCCCTCTAGTTTTCAATTCCCCATCCCTGGGAAAAAGACTATATGCATTCATTCTATCTATGCCCCTCATGATTTTATACACCTCAATAAGGTCTCCCCTCATTCTTCTATATTCCAAGGAATAAAGTCCTGTCCTGGCTAACCTCTTCCTACAACTTAGGCCTACTGGTCCTGGTAACATCCTCGTAAATCTTCTTTGCACTCTTTTCAGTTTAACTATGTCTTTTCTATAACAGGATGACCAAAACTGTACACAATACTCCAAGTGCGGCCTCACCAATGATTTTTAGAACTGTAATATAACCTCCCAACTCCCAAACTCAGTGCCTTGACCGATGAAGGCCAGCATGCTAAATGCCTTTTTCATGTCCACCTGTGACGCTGCTTTCAACGAACTATGTATTTGTACTCCTAGGTCCCCCTGTTCCACAACACTCCCCAGGACCTTACCGTTTACTGTACAAGTCCTACCTTGGTTTGACTTTCCAAAATGCAACACCTCACACTTATCTGTATTGAATTGCATTTGCCAGTCCTCAGCCCACTTCCCCATCTGATCATTATCCCTCAGTAGTTTTTGATAACCTTCCTCACTATCAACGATACCTCATAATTTTGTACCATCCACAAACTTGCTAATCATGCCTTATACATTCACATGGCTCAGAGAACTGACTTCTTCCTGGATCCTTTTCACCTACATCTGTGACTCTTTCAATACCCTTCTGCTATTCGCCTCGATGGTGAAAATTTAGCCCTAAGCCACTGATATATATTAAAATTAGTTACCTGATCACTGGGATTCACATTTTGAAATTTCCCTACCTTGATGCATAGAAACAGAATGGTTACAGTACAGAAGTAAGCCATTCAGACTATTAGATCCCTGTCAGCTCTCCGTAAGAGCAAATCACTTAATAACCCTAATGAGTGCAAGTTGCTGTGGCAACATTCATGTATAAAAGTATTTTGTAGTCCCAAAGCTTTAAATAGGGATGGAAGGATCTCCAATTTTCGTTCCATCACATGATTGACCAGGAACCCCTCCCATTCTTACCATCTACCATTTGCTTATGGTTTCAGAAATCTTGTCAGCATGGACAAGTTGGAACAAAGGTTTTTTTTATGCTATATGAAACTATGACTTTATAAAAGATTGAAAAGATTTGCAGTTGATACTCACCTTCCTTGGCCATTAGGTCCACGAGTGGGACTTGAAGACAGAGCCGCTGGCTCAGAGGCAGGGATGCTTCCACTTAGCCACAAGTCCTCCACAATTATGTTATATTACCACAAAGATCATATACACTTGAGTAATTTCTTGGGTTAATATGTTAGACTAATAGCATAGAAGAAGTGAGCAATCATGTTATAATTAATCAAAAGGAGTTGCGTTTTTATTTATACACATGGATAGTTAAACACATGACTGATAATTAATTGCCAAAATAACTAACTGTTTGGAGCTACTAAGTCAAAATGTTGCCGTTCAAATTTGACAATAACTTTTGTAAAAAAAAAAGACTCCTTTTTGAGTTGCATATTAAATTTTACACTGCTGTCAAAAAGTTAGAAAACGATGGATGAGGTTTAATGAAAAGTTTGCTTTCACAACAATACGATGGGGTATAATCCTATTAATCAGTTGTGATAAAGTAAATTATTTCTGAGATATAAATCTGGATCATTGCATGAAAACACTATTTAAACGAGCGACAACACATTGTAGCAACCCAGAACTATGCCAAAATGTGGAGTACCTCCACCAACTATTTAAGGACAATGAATACCCCAACAACTGGATCCGACAATGCCTATCACACGAACAACAACAAGAAGATACTGCACACCCTAACACACTCATCACGCTACCGTACATGAAGAATATATCCGAACTGACCACAAGACTCCTACGGCCATTGGCATCAGAGTAGCACACAAACCCACGTCAACCTTACGCCAACTGCTAACTCGAACCAAAGACCCCTTACCCACTATGGACAGAACCAACGTAATAAACAAAATTCCATGCAAGGACTGCGACAAACATTACATTGGACAGATAGGAAGAAAATTGGCCACAAGGGTGCATGAACACCAACTGGCAACAAAAAGACAGGACCAATACTCACTCATCTCCATTCACACGGATAAGGAGAACCACCAGTTCGATTGGGACAACACTAGTATCCTAGGACAGGCCAAACAGAGACAAGCACAGGAATTGCTAGAGGCCTGGTTCTCCACCGAGAAGGCAATCAACAAATACATAGAACTAGACTCTATATATGCACCACTGCAAAGGAAAACCAGAAATGTGGTAATCAAATCCAACGGACCCCGGAGTTTAAATACTAGGTGGGAAAACACAACAGCGCTTCATCGGAGGCTGCACTGATGATGTTACCCAGCAGGGTAATGAAACGTCTGCGAACTAACAAACTAGCTCGGCGAGCGAACCAATCACAGCATTAGTTGTAACTGATTGGTGATGGCAGTTGTTCAGCATATATTCTTTCACCTGTGGGACCTGAATTTTAATCTAGCACAAGTTGAAGCAATGTAAGGAAAGAAGCATCCTAGGCAGCAGCCTCCTTTATATCCTTGAAGCAACGGTATCAAAATTGGACTGCAGTAAACTTCATGATCTGTCACCAAATATTTTATGAGGGTGGAAAATGTGGAGGCACTGTCATATCTTTTGATCCACAAACCTACATGTGATACCACTGTCATACCTTTTAATATATATACCTACATGTGACTCCAGACCCACAGCAATGTGGTTGACTCTTAACTGCCCTCTGGGCAATTAGGGATAGGCAATAAATGCAGCAACACCCTCATCCCGTGAACAAACAAAGAAACAAACAAATTTTCTCTAGATTTGGGGATCATGCCAGAGGACTAGAGAATGGGGAAGGTTTTAGAAATGATAATTCAGGACAAGAATCAATAAATTACATGGCTAAATGTGGTTAACTAAGGAAAACAGCAGAGATTAGTTGAGGGCTAATTGCGTTAAGTAACTTGCTTGAGTTTTTTTTTGATGAGGCAACAGAGAGGATAAATGAGAACAACATGGTTGGCATGATGTACATGGACTTCCAAAAGGCATTTGTTAAAGTGTCTCAAGACAAATTTGCGAGCAATGTTAAAACCCAAGTGCATGAGTGTTAGCTTAGATATGAAACTGGATGAGTGACAGAAACAATGGGCAATGGTGAAAAACTGTCAATGCACTGCAGGAAGGATTGTGTTAGGACCGCTGTTCTTGTTGATTTATAGTAACAATTTGCATTTTGGTGCACATGGGACACTTTTAAAATCTGTGATTCACAAAGATATTGTAGATATTGTGTAGAGGGTAGCGTTAAACTTGAAAAGGACTAAGACAAGTTATTGGAATGAGCAAACAACTGGGAGATCACATTTTATCTGGAAAAGTGTGAACTATTCATTTTTGTAGGAAAAACTGAGAGAGGCTATATAGAGTGAAGAGTACAGTTCTCAAAGCAGATATAGGAACAGTTGCACCTTGGAAGTGCATAAGTCATGGAAATTAACAGTTGATAAAAATACTGACTGACAGCATGATTAAGAAATCAGAAAGGATCCTGAATTTATAAATTGGAGCACAGAATACAAAAAAACCTGTACAAAACACTGGTTCAACCTCAACTCCAGTACTGCAATTTAGGAAGGATGTGAGGGCATTACAGAGGATGCAGAAAAGATTCACTGGAATGGTCCCAACTGAGTAACTTCAATTATGAACATAAATTAGAGCACCTGAGACTGATTTCTTTGAAGAGAACATTGAGACGAGGTTTGAGAGAGGTATTCATAAAATGGAGGGGTCTGTAGAATTTAAAGGGAAATTGTTTCCATCAATGGAAAGGTTGAGAACAAGGCAACACTGATTTAAAACAATTGGTGAAGGAAGCAATGGAGACACAAGGAGAAACTTGTTCATTTAGCAAGTGGTTGGGATACAAAATGTGCTGCCAGCGAGTGTGGTGGTTGCAGGTTCAGTCAAGGCATTCAAAGCAAAATGAATTATTATCTGAAAAGGAAGAATATGCAGGGAGAAGTCTGGGAAATAGTACTTGTGTACTCAATTTATTTGGAAACCCCATGCAGACACAACAGGTCAAATGGCCTCCTTCTGCGCTGTAACAATTCTGTCATTACGTATTGTGTAATTGCCATGACTGGTGTATTTGTACTCTGCATGATACATATAATGAGTCAAAACATCAACAGAAAGACTTTTACCGTACTATACAATTTACGGCAAAACTGACATCCAGCTGTCTAATACTTCTTATATCCAGAGCAAAACAGAAATGGTGGGCTGATGCTGGAATAGAAATCTTTGGTGCTGATGAAGAATCAGATAACTTGGAAACTAAAGCTGGACCACACTGTGGTTCCATTGGCGAAACTGGTTCTGCTGTGGAAATTAAAAAAAAAATTCAATTAGTAGAACAATCAATATCTGCATATACTATATAAAAATATAAAAATGAGCCTGCTCATTATTCAGTAAGATCAAATTACTTCACATTCTTATCTACCTCTGATAATCTTTCACCTTCTTGCTCATCGAGAATTTAGCTACCTCTGCCTTAAAAACATTGCTTTTTGAGAAAATATGAAAGTTTTTAACATGTAATACAATACCTCGAAGTTTTCTAGCAAAGTGTCATAACCAAACAAAACACTCACATTAGGTACAATATGATCAAAGTAAAACTTACTGTATTCTGTAAGATTTTTAATTTCTTCGAAATATTAACGGCACCTGTTAACCGGCTATGCAGGGTGCAAAGTCCCAAGTATACGTTAACTTATGGAAATGGTCCCGCAACTCAGGCTTCAAAAAAATTCATGCGCCTGATCTGCTTGGGAGTTATGCTGCCACTTTCAAGGACTCAAGATTGTTTTGCTGCTGGATAACTGCCCATTAGAATTTTCAATTTCCCAGGTTATTACTGTGCGGTCAACAGCACAACTATGAAGCTATGTCCTTGTTTCTCACCATCCAAAGATTGGAAGATTTTGGGCAAGGATATGGACGTCCTTTCAAAACTACACATGACAATAAACATGTAACAACTTGTCCGTTGCGTTTTACCTTTGACTTTTGGCTATTCATATCTGCAGTCATTGATATTCTCAATTGTACCCTCACCTTTTATATTCCAGCCTTCAATAAAACCATTGCTCTCTCTCACTATTTCCCCAATTTAGCTCTCACTTCCATTCTTTAAGTAAATGGTTTGGTTTTGGAATACACTGCCTGGAAATGTGGTGAAGATAGGTTCAATTGAGGCATTCAAGACAGCATTGGAAGATTAATTAAATAGAAATAATGTGCAGGGTTACAGGGAAAGGCAGGAGTTTGGCATTTAATCAAAATTCTCAGAGAGCCACATTGAACTTAATGGCTACCTTCTGCACTGTAACAATTCTGTGATCATGTTCCCAGTCACAGATTTGAATGGGATTGGCATCCTATCAATTTAGTCTTTCAACAGCAGACTTGGGGCCACTTCAAACAGGGCCACTTCAAACTATTGGGGCCTAGATTCAATATTACCGCAAAGATAATCCTGGTTTCTTTGCTGTGCTGTAAAATATCTCCTTAAACCCCTCTTCCCTAGATCCTCTAACCTCATCATCTCCAAAAAGCGCGTGGAAGCCGTTTTTAATAAAACTAAGACCATCAATCATCTGTTCATGATATTTCCCTCCCTCTATCAACCCAACGAACCAAATTCCCTCTGAAATTACCTGCATCCTTGTCCCAAACTTACATTTTCTCTAATTTCTCCATTCTTGCACAGGCCTCCACAAAGCCCATTTTACCCTCAAGATCCACTTCCTGATCCCCGGACCCTAATTGCACTAAATTGCTGAGCACCTGACTTCCCATCTCAGTCCCAAAATTGGTTGCTACTTTTCAAGCAATACCATTCAAGCATGTCCCTCTCTCCTTTAAATCTGCCATCATCAATCCTCCTGGACCAATACTCAACCTTAATCATTCTCGAAACTACAGTCTCATCTTCAACCTTCCTTTGCTCCTCAACTGTAATGTTACCTTCCACATCTGTGCCAATTTTTCTTGGAACCTTATATTAGCATCCCTGCTACAATACCAAAACAACTTTTACCAAAATTGCAAATGACATTCTATGTGACCATGACAGAGACAAACTATCCTTCATGGTCCTTCTGACATGTTTGCAGCCTATAACATGGCTGACTATATCATCTTCCTTCAACTTCTCTTGACTGTTGTCCAGCTGGGTAGAACTGCAATCACTTGATTTAACTCTTATATGTCTAATTGCAGCCAAAATAGCACCTGCAATGGCTTCTCTTCCTGCTCTGGTGTTTCCCACCAATGTTGCTACATTGTCAGAGTGTTCTTCTGATGTCCAGTTTTGAATGAGTAGAAATGTCTATTCAGTAAATACTGGAAGCAGTGAAACCATTGTATTTGGCATCCTTATAATTCTGTTGCCTGCAACCGACTCCTGGCCACTGAAGCTGTACCAGATCGCAACTTTGGTTTCACATATGACCATTCAATGAGCTAATGACCATATCTGCAAACCCTGATTTTCACTTCTGTAATATTGCAAGACTCACCAAGTCTCTCCCCTCCAAAACTCACTGCCTAAGCAAATCTGCTGTTGAAATCCTCATTTACGTCTTTGTTACCTTAACTATTTCAACTTACTTCTAACTGGCATTACAGATTCTACCATCCATAAACTGGACATCCAAAATTCTTACTCACACCAAGTACATTTACAAATTACCCATATACTCACTGACCTAAATTGACTCCTGTTTAAAGAAAGCCTCAATTTTAAATTTCTTATCCTTGTTTCCAAGTTCCTCCATGGCCTCTTCACTCGTTAGATACTCCAATATACCTGCACTTCTCTAATTCTGACCAAATATCCCTGATTTCAATTGTTCCACCACCAGTGACTTTGTCTTCAGCTACCTGCTTCCTGGATACTGGAATCCCTTCCCTGCAACATGCTGGAAATCAGGGACACTTCCAGGTTCCAGAATGACAACAAATGTAGGAATTGTATTCAGCTGCAGCTCTTGATTTGCCATATTGGGTGGCTGGAGCTGAAGGTGGACTCACTACGGAGCATCCGTGACGCTGAGAATGTCGTGGATAGCATGTTTTGCAAATTCGTCACATCACCATAAAGGCTACAAAGACAGAGAAGAGTTGGGAGACCACAAGGAAGATGAGTAAATGTGAACAGTCAATGCTTGTGGCCATTCCCCTCTCAAACAGGTATACCGTTTTGGATGCTGAGGGGTAGGGTGGCCTCTCAGGGGAAGACAGCAGCAGGCAGATCAGTGGCACCACACCTGGCACTGTTGTACAGCAGGGAGGGTTGAAATGTCAGCAAGCAGTAGAAATAGGGGATTCTACAGTCAGGGGCACAGATAGGCATTTCTGAGGCCACAAGTGAGTCTCCAGGATGGTGTGTTACCTCCCTGATGCAGGATGTCTCTGAGCGGGCACAGGATATTCTGATGGGAGAGGGTCAGCAGCTGGAGACTGTGATCCATATTGGTACCAACAACATAGACAGAAAGTGAGATGAAGTCCTGCAAAGGGAGTTCATGGAGTTAGATAGGAAGTTGAAAACCAGGAAGTGTTGGGTTGTAATCTTGGGATTACTTCTGGTGCCATGTGCCAGTGTGACTAGGAATAGGCAGATACTACAGTTAAATATGTGGCTAAAGAGTTGATGTGTGAGGGAAGGCTTCAGGTAAGTGGATCAGTGGGATGTCTTCTGGTGTAGGTAAATCCTGTACAAGAAAGATGGGTTGCACCTAAACTGGGAGTGCACCAAGATCCTGGCAAGGAAGTTTGCTAGTGCCACTTGCCAGGTTTTAAACTATAATGGTGGGGGGGAACAATAAGAAGAACAATCAGAGCAGTAGGTCAGCCGGTAAAATGACCAAGGAAAAGTCTGAGACTAGGGTCAGTAAAACTAAAAGGAAGAACACACAAGAGGACGTTACTGAACACAGCAGGACTGGTGTTCTGAGGTGTATTTATTTTAATACAAGGAGTTTGACAGATGAGGTAGATAAACTCAAGAGCTTGAATTAATACATATAACTAAGACATTGTAGTTAATACAGAGACTTGGTTGAGAGAGGGACAAGATTGGTAGCTTAACATTCTGGAATTTAAATGTTTCAAGCATGATAAGAGAGGAATGTAAAAGAGATGGGGGAGTTGCATTACTGATTAGGGAGTATATCACAGCTGTACTGAAAGAGGACACCTTGGATGGCTTATCCAGTGAGGTCATATGAGTACAGCTCAGGAACAGGAAGGGTGCAATCATTTTGATGGGATTCTACTATAGACCCTTCAACAGCCAGCAGGTGATAGAGGGACAGATATGTGGACAGATTTTGGAAAAATATGAAAACAACAGGGTTGTTGTTAACTTAAGATGTTGTTAACATCTTAACTTCTCCCATTTTGACTGGGGCTCACCTAATGCCAGGGGCTTGGATGGGGGTGATTTGGTAGGTGTATCCAGAATGTTTTTTTGAAACTATGTAATTAGTCCACAACAAAAGCAGCAATTGCTGGAAAAACTCAGCAGGTCTGGCAGCATCCATGGAGAGAAATCAGTGTTTTGGGTCCAGTGACCCTTCTTCAGAACTGCTGGTAGCTAGGAAAAGGTTGGTATTTATGCGAAGATAGGATGGGGGGAGAGAGGGAGGAGGAGTAAACAATAGATGGAGATATAGCTCAAAGAGAGAAAAAACAGTTGGTTAGACAAAAGAGTGGATAGCGGTCAGCCTGGGAGAATGAATAGCTGCTAATGGGGACTATAAGTAGCTGACAATGGGCTGTATGTGGTAGTAGTCCTCGTGATGGTGAAGAAAAGGCATGGGGAAAGATGCTCAAGCCCTAAAATTGTTGAATTCAATATCAAGTCCAGAAGTCTGCAGAGTCCCAAGCAGAAAATGAGGTGCTGTTCCTCCAGGTTGCACTGAGCTTTGCTGGAGCACTGCAGCAAAGATGTAAACTAATAACTTAAATGTGACGGTGCCTGTCTCCTTCCTGAAAGATCAGCCTTGCTCAAGAATATGATGTTTAATAACTAAACAAATAATTAAAATAAAATTAGATGCAGCAAATTCAAAAAACAGACTCTCACAACTCAAAATAAATTGCTTGACATACATTAGCTTTATACGACATCCTCAGAATAATGGACTCAAAAGTCCAGTAGATTTTCATAACTATAATTGATCAAACTGTAAGAAAAAAATGAATAACTAAAGATATATTTTCCTGGTTTTGTGAAACTACAACTCATATTATAATGAACAAAGACAATCTAGCAAAGAGTAATTTGAGACTTCATTACATATTTAATAAGTAAACAAGACTAAATGGAAGAGTCTTCTCAGAAGTATTCGCTTTAGGCTAACAGCAGGCAGAATGAAGGGGAGGAATCAACGAGCAGACTTTAAAAAATCTCCTGAGGGGACTATAGAGTGCTTCATTTTCCAGATATATATTTACAACAAGGTCAAGGAAGGTAATATGAGTTTACAGATCAAAAAACAATAAGCATGTGGTAGTATAGTTAAACCTACTTGCATGCCTCGGAACTGGAAAGAAATCCAACTCCAAAAATGTCACAGTTGATAAAAAAAGATTCAGAATCACAAAACAGATTTAGATCCAAGATTAAACACGGCAACAATTACGATACTTTGTTATTAAAAATTAAAAATTAGAAAAAGATACCCTCACGTCAATAAAAGTACCAAATAAACATGAATGAACAGCTTAAGGTCAATTTCCTTTTTTTTAAGAAAGTGTTCCTTTTAGCCTACATAATATACTATTGCTACAACTCTACCTCACAAAGTGCCCATCTTTGTTCCAATGCCTTTCAAATGCCCTGTTATCAACAGCATTTATTTAACTTTGTTTTTGAGAAAGCTTATGCCCTCAGCCGCAGTAAATTACTGAGACTGAAAATTCATCATATCTAGAGAACTATTTTCTCCATTCCACCCCCAATCTTTATTAAAGTAACAGTTCTTGCTGGCCTCAGTCCCACTTGAAATTCAATCTACATACGTTTACACTTTGAAGCAAGGACAATTCATGAGTACCCCTGGATCCATGACAAATCCAATAGGCCATATGTTACTCAATTTGAGGTGAGTTCAGTCAGGGATGTTTGGAAGTTTGACAATTCTCATTTATGTAGTCTTGCGCATTATAGAACTTTCAATTGTGTGGCAGATTCAGTATTCTACAGGTCAACCAAACAACTGAGTCACAATTGTATGAAAAATATTAAGAAATGCGTACGTTCTCCAAAATATATTATTTCATGTTGTTCCACATCAAATTATATCATCAAAGAATAATACTTTTCCTCAAAATTTGTTGCTGGTAATGCAGTTACCATGTGTACCTTGACCACACAGAAAACCATCCACAAAAGTCTCGTCATTTCTGTGGCATGAATTTCCCTTTTCCAGACACATCTAGTTTGCATCTAACACCATGCCAAGGATATATCCATGCAAAAGTGATCCCTTCAAGCAGGATGCAAAGCCAATAACACTGAAGTATTTGGACAGAAGCAGAGAGTAAGATACATTAATGTTTTTATTTTAATTAGAACTTTTACACAGGGCAATAAATATGTTTGAAGCATATTCAAAATTAGGATGAAAGCAAAAATATGAAACGTCTATAGAAAACCTGGAGAAATTTGACATTCCACAAATATAAAATTAGATTTTCAGGCCATTCAAGAATAGTGATGAACTTAAAACACTATTAAAAACTCATTTAAACCTACACACAAGAATTAATTCTTTTCAAGGGTTTTTCCAGAGACTAACAGTATTAAAGGCTAAGTTCTCCTTGAATTCTGGAAAGGCTTCATCAGCACACCCCACGGGGAAGCAAAGAATTACCAACAACCTCTGGAATCCAAAGTTTAACTACACCTGTCTCGACAACAGTGAGAAGTAATGACAGCAATCACTGAAAATATCTGTGTCATCATTCTTCCAAAATCCATTGTACTAATAAGACACTTGAAAAAGACTTTGTATAAACGATCAGATAATTGAACTGAACCTCACCTTGGGAAGGTTTAACTGTCTGAGATGAACGTGCCTTGGAATACAATGCTGTTTCTGATTGCTGTTCTAATTGTTGTTTGTCTATACCTTCACCAGAATCAGTTATCACTGCAAGTAAGGAAAAACATTAATGATTATCAATTTAATTCAACCGCCTTGAAAATAGCACTAGCAATTTCCAGCAACTACAGGATAATGAATCTGAAAGGGCTTTTGTGGAGCTGTGGAAGTGTCCCTACTTCTGAACCAAGAGGCCCAGGTTCAAGCTCTGCTTCAGAATTGTGTAATAATATCTCTCAACAGGTTTATTAGAAAATATCTATAATTAAGTTGATTTAGGACAGTGGTACATACCAGGTTAACAACTTCAACTGTTTAACAGAAATGGCTTGGATTTTAAAATCAAAAATTTTGAATTCTAGTAAGGTTACTCAACACTGAGGAGGACTGCAACAAATTACATTAATGAACTTGCAAATGGGCAAATAATTGACAAATGAAGTTCTACATAAATAAATGCAAGATACTCCATTTTAGTTGGAACAATTGAAATTCACTTATTTCTTGGGAGGTTCAAGTCTTGTGGCATACAACAAGAAGGACATCTCAGAATATAAATACAGTAAACAAAATATACGCCACAGGATAACAAGACTATAAAAAAAAACAAGCAGTAGGCTTTATTTCTAGAGGTATAGAATTAAAAAATAGGAAAACTATTATAAACATGCATTAAAACTTGCTCAGTCCATACCGAATTCTGCACACAGTTTTGGTCACCATATTATGTCAATAATATATACAAGCACTGGACAGGGTGAAGAGAAGCTTCACAATTATAGTGCCAAAAATGTGCAACTAACTATCAGGAAAAATTTGATAAGGTGGGACATCATTCTCTTTTAAAAAAAGGGTGAGGGGTGATCTAACACGGATCTTTAGCATAATGAAACATTTTAATAGCATATGTACAGGTAGAATGTCTTTGGGTACAACCAGAGATTATCGACATCAGACAATTACCGAGAAACATGATATGGAATTCAAAATAAAACTTCTTACCCCAAAGACTGGCGACAATGTGCAACTGACTGCCTTAGAAAGAGGCTGAAGCTAATAGCATTGAGTTTTTTAAGAACGTACAAATGAGAAGCAGATATAGATTATTTGGCCCCTCAGGCCTGCTCTCTAATTCAAAAAAATCATGATCTGTTTATGTTTCGAATTCCATATCCCCATTAACAGCTAATAATCCTTAATTCACCTGCCTAACAGAACTCCACCCGCCTCTGTCTTAAAAATAGTCAATGACCCCTGCCTTCGTTGCCTTTGGAGGCAGAAAGTTCCAAAGTCTCAACCTCAGCGGGGAAAAAAAATTCTCCCTATCCCTGTTCTCTAAGGACAATCCCTAATTTTAAAACAGTGCCCCTTGGTCCTGGACTTAGCCATAAAACAAAAAACATTCTTTCCAGATATATGTCAAGACTTTTTAGAATCTTATACATATCAATCAAGTCACCCCTCCCTCTTCTAAACTTCCATGGAATCAAGCCATTCTGTCAAATCTATCCTCATAAGACAACGCACTCATTCCAGTATCAATATGGAAAACCTCCTCTGGACTGCCTCTAACGTATTTACATTTCTCCTTAAATAAGGCCAGCAAAACTGCACACAGTATCCAAAATACAGTCTCACCAATGCCCTGTGAAACTGAAGAAAAGCATCCTTACTTTCATGTCCCAATTCTCTCATAATAATGGATAGCATCCCATTTGTCTTCTTGATGACATTCCATTCCTGTATACTAGCCTTTTGACACATTCAAAAGAATGCCCAAATTCCCCCGCACCTCAGAATTCTGCAGGTGCTCGCTATTTAAATACTCTGCTTTTTTATTTTGCCAAAGCAAACAAGTTCATATTTTTCCACTCAATACCCCATCTGCCAGAATTCTGTCCTCTCATCTAACCTATTCATATCCCTCTTCTTAGGATATTTTCCTACTTAGCTTCATCTCCTCTGTGAATGTACTACCGAGTCCTTGCTTTCTTTTTATTTAATCTATTTTTCTGTTCAACCTGTTCAGAGATTTTATTACATGCCTCTGGAGCAGGTGGGACTTGAATACAGGCCTCCTGGTCCAGGGGTAGGGACGTTACCATTGTGCCACAAGACAGCCAAAGTCTACTGCGTCTGGTATTCCCAGGTAGTTCCCTATGCAAATACTAACCAGTCCCGAGTCCCGAGATCAGACGGCATTGGCCGTTTTCAGGCTAGTAGGGCCGTAGGGCAAGTACTTGCTTCTAAGTCATTAACATTTATTGTAAAAACCTGAAGATTCAGTTTCAGAGATTAGGAGAATTTTTTTTCTCTTAGAGGCTTGTGTGACTTTGGAACTCACTGCCTCAAAAGACCTCTACCAGTCATATACTATCAATCAGAGATAGTAGGAACTGCTGATGCTGGAGAAGCTGAGATAACAAGGTGTAGAGCTGAATGAACACAGCAGGCCAAGCAGCATCAGAGGAGGAGAAAAGCTGATGTTTTGGGTCTGGACCCTTCTTCAGAAATGGGGGAGGGGAAGGGGATTCTGAAATAAATAGAGAGAGAGGGGAAGGCAGATGGAAGGTGGATAAAGGAGCAGATAGGTGGAGAGGAGACGGACAGGTCAAGGAGGCGGGGATGGAGCCAGTAAAGGTGAGTGTAGGTGGGGAGTTAGGATGGGGGTTGGTCAGTCAAGGGAAGATGGACAGGTCAAGGAGGCGGGGATGGGGCTAGTAGGTAGGAGGTGGAGGTGGGGGTTGAGGTGGGTGGAGCAGATACATGGGAGAAAAGACGGACAGGTCAAGGAGACGGGGAGGAGCTGGGCTGGTTTTGGGATGAGGTCAGGGGGTGGGGAGATCTTGAAGCTTGTGAAGTCCACATTGATACCGTTGGGCTGCAGGGTTCCCAAGCGAAATATGAAGTTCTGTTCCTGCAACCTTTGGGTGACACCGTTGTGGCACTGGAGGAGATCCAGGGTGGACATGTTGTCCAAGGAGTGGGAGGGGGAGTTGAAGTGGTTCGCGACTGGAAGATGCAGTCGTTTGTTGCGAACCGAGCGTAGGTGTTCCACAAAGCCGTCTCCAAGCCTCCGCTTGGTTTCCCCGATGTAGAGGAGGCCACATCGGGACCAGCAAATTGGCAGATGTGCAGGTGAACATCTGTTTAATGTGGAAGGTTTTCTTGGGGCCTGGGATGGGGGTGAGGGGGGAGGTGTAGGGGCAAGTGTAGCACCTCCTGCGGTTGCAGGGAAAAGTGCCAGGGATGGTGGGGCTAGTGGGGAGTGGGGAGTGTGGAGCGGACAAGGGAGTCACGGAGAGATCGGTCCCTCCGGAAGGCAGGTAAGGGTCGGGAGGGAAAAGTGTCCTTGGTAGTGGGGTCAGATTGCAGGTGGTGGAAGATGATGCGTTGAATCCGGAGGTTGGTGGGGTGGTACGTGAGGACGAGGGGGATTCTGTTTTTGTTGTTATTGTGGGGAGGGGGCGTGAGGGATGAGTTGCGGGAAACATGAGAGATGCGGTCGAGGGCGTTTTCGACCACAGTGGAGGGGAAGTTCCCGACCTTGAAAAACGAAGACGTCTGGGATATCCGGGAGTGGAATGCCTCACCTTGGGAGCAGATGTGGCGGAGGCGAAGGAACTGGGAATAGGGGATGGCATTCTTGCAGGAAGGTGGGTGAGAGGAGGTGTATTCTAGGTAGCTGTGGGAGTCCATAGGCTTGAAATAGATATTGGTTTCCAGGTGGTTGCCAGAGATGGAAACAGAGAGGTTCAGGAAGGAGAGCGAGGTATCGGAGATGGTCCAGGTAAACTTAAGGTTGGGATGGAAGTTGTTAGTAAAGTGGATGAACTGTTCGAGCTCCTCATGGAAGCACGAGGCGGCGCCGATACAGTCATTGATATAACGGAGGAAGAGGTAGGGGATGGGGCCAGTGTAGCTGCGGAATAGGGACTGATCCATGTATCCTACAAAGAGGCAGGCATAGCTTGGGCCCATGCGGGTACCCATGGTCACCCCTTTGTCTGTAGGAAGTGGGAGGAATTGAAGGAGAAGTTGTTAAGGGTGAGGATGAGTCAGCTAAGCGGATAAGGGTGTCAGTGCAGGGGGACTAGTCAGGCCTGCAGGACAGGAAGAATCAGAGGGCCTTTAAGCCATTTGCATGGGGAATGCAAGTATATAGGGACTGGACATCCATGGTGAAGATGAGGTGTTGGGGACCAGAGAATCAGAAGTTTTGGAGGAGGTGAAGGGGTGGGTGGGGAGTTCCTGAACCAGGGGGGAGAAAATGGAGTCGAGATAAGTGGAGATAAGGTCGGTGGGACAGGAGCAGGGGGAGACAATGGGTCAACCAGGGCAGTTGGGTTTGTGGATTTTGGGAAGGAGATAGAAACGGGCAGTATGGGGTTGGGGAACGATGAGGTTGGAGGCTGTGGTTGGGACTTCATCCCAAAACTAGCCTAGCTCGTCCCCGCCTCCCTGACCTGTCCGTCTTTTCTCCCACCTATTCACTCCTCCACCTCACTGACCAACCCCCACCCCCACCTCCTACCTACTATCCCCATCTCCGTCTCCTTGACCTATCCATCGTCCCTTGGCTGACCAACCCCCATCCTAACTCCCCACCTACACTCACCTTTACAGGCTCCATCCCCGCATCCTTGAACTGTCTGTCTCCTCTCCACCTATCTGCTCCTTTATCCACCTTCCATCTGCCTCCCCAACTATCTCTATTTATTTCAGAATGCCCTTCCTCTCTCCCATTTCTGAAGGGTCCAGACCCGAAACGTCAGCTTTCCTGCTCCTCTGATGCTGCTTGGCCTGCTGTGTTCATCCAGCTCTACACCTTGTTATCTCATATACTATCAATCAGACTCTTTTTCCTTCCAGCCAGTCAGCCAGCCTGCCAGCCAATCTTCTACCCTTGCTAATACAGAACACACTGCACCATGCGCTTTTATTTTTTGAAATAACATTTAACGTAGGTCCTTGTCAAATGTCTTCTGGAAATCAAAGTATAGTATGTTTCAGTTCACCTTTATCCAAAGGGTGTACTGCTCCTTCTAATAAATTGGTTAAACATAACTTCCCTTTGACAAAATTATGCTGAATCCTCCCAATAACCCCATTTTTTTCGAAGTACACAGCTATAATCTCTTAAATAATCAACTCTAACACCTTTCCCATGACAGTCAAGGAGATGACCATTTTACTGTTACGATTTTTGCCTCTCCCTTCTTGAATGGAGGGGTTTTTTTGCTACTTTTCAGTCTAATTGAATTTTTCCTGAATTGTAGAGAATTTTGGAAAGTTAAAGTTAATATATTCACAACCTCATAGGCAACCTTCTTTAAGAACCTCGGATTTAGTCCGTCCGGACCTGAAGACTTGTCAGCCTGGTCCAACCGTTTATTTAGTATCACTTCCCTCATGATTACAATTTCACTAAGTACCTGCCTCCCTCCACCTCCTGATTTACTACCATTATTAGATTTTTTTTGATATCCTAAACAAACATACATGGGAGAAGTGAATACAGGACTCCAACAATAAACTTAGATGAAGTTAGACTCAAGTGGGGCACAAACACAAATACCGTCTGGATGAGCGAAAAGGCCTGTTACTGTGCTGTATATGTTTTGTGAAACTGAGAATCTTAGCTCTAAACAGCACAGCAAATATCCAAAGATCACTTCAAATTATGCCCTGTGATATTTTTCATTCAATCACAGAAATTATGTATCCTAGCACTGCCAAGTTGTACTCACCTTTCTGAATCTTATTTTCTTCTCCCTGCAGACTATTCACCTCGTTTTCTGTTGCCTGATCTCTGCTGGGAGGAGAATCACTATGTTCGGGAGAAATGTTTGCAATATCAACTGTCTCAGGCTTTCGTTCAGGAATTGAAGTTTTGACAGTTTGAGGAGAAACTATTCGTTGCATCACTGGAGACTTAGGTTCAGGTTCCATTTTACCTGGACTAGATTGCTTTAAAAAAAATGTTGTTTGGTCAACAATGGAAAAGGCAAATTCCCAACATCCAAATTATATAGGTTCATAATCATAATGTATAAAATCTCTTAAGACATAAGACAACGATTCAAAATTCAGTATTTATATCTCCACTGATCACTGACATTTAGCTGATTAGATACCAAACAGAATTACATCACCTCCAGAATTTTATTTCATCATTAGTTAATTAACACAAAAGAATTAAAAGGCAAACATTTTTAATCTTACAAGCAATTCCTAGTTACTGTTTGGTCATTAAATAGCTACCCTGCATGCAATTCCTTTCAATGAAACAGATCTTGGATAACTTGAGCAAAGCTAAATATCATAACAAGAAATAGATTAGAAAATGATTTCAGAATAATAATTTTATATGGTACTCATTGATTTCCAATAAGAAACAGAATTGTAAAACGATAATGAACCTGGAGTGCAAAGCTGTACTGGTGCCTCCTTTTTATTGTGACCAAGTATTTTTAATCTTGTAATACAATTCTAAACACTTACACCAACGTGTACGTGTTTGAAACAGAAATCGTAGTTGAGTTTACCATTCTGTAATTATGCATTCGTGCTAAATGTGATACTGCAGCACCTCCATCAGTAGGAAATGCGATTACATTGTGACAAATTTCATTGCAAATGTAAAAATAGGAATTTATAACAAAAATCTCAAATGATGTGGAGGAACTATAAGACATTTTATCTGCTAAAAGATGGATGGGTGCATTTTTGACAATTTTATACATCCCTACTATTAGCTTTTAAACATAACTACAAACAATAGCTCTGATTTTATCCACATGATTAATATTCACAAAGAAAGAATTATTATCCTTACAGGTTTACAGTAAGTTGTGACTGGATGCAAACGTAATGGAAAAAAAATTGCATCATAGATGAAATAAAGTAAATAGTAATTACCTGAGATTTTGTTCCTTCTTTTCTAAGGGTTACTGACACTCCCACAGTCGGAGACAACTCAAGTGGCAGAGGAGGGTCCTTTTGCTTTGCTTTGTTAGGTGGCACCAATGTAAATGCTCCTTCAACTGCTGCAGGGTGCTGATCTATTTCTTGGTTTCTTTTTAATAACCCTGCAAGTGAGACCTCTGTGCTGCCCAATGATCTGTCACCACAGCACAAATGGATCTGAAGTTTAAAGGAAAAGTCAAAGTAGAGTATTCATTTTGCACTTCAGTCCACCATCCAGAGGCATGACAAAACCTTATGCATTTCAGATCCCATTTTTAAAATATTAACTGTTCAAATTTTATCCATCTTGTTCACTAGTGTTCCTTTGGGGGGAAAAAAATCTGCCAACCTTACCCTTACGTCATTCCAGACAAACAGCTGATGCTTAAATGCCCACAGAAATCACCCAACAAGCCACTCAGTTTTACTAAACTACTGTGGAAAATAATAAAACTAGACCGGTCATGTGGCTGTGACTGAGTCATCTGATTTAGACACAAAGACATATTCAATCCAGGCAATCTTCTTCAGTAACATCTGGATGACTAATGCCAAAATCTGCAGAAGTGCCCCACTGACTAGTCAAACTTCAGCCTGATACATTCAGAATCACCAAATTAAAGTGTACAACAAATGCCCCAAGTTCTTTCCATTACCATCTTGACCTACGTCCTGTCTCATGGGGAGGACAGTCTGGAAGAAGAGTCCCAGGAGTCCTCAACATTGACTCTAGACCTGATGATACTAAATAGCATCAGGCCAAAAATGAAAATGGAAACCTCTGCTGATTATCACCTACAGTCAGCCTTCAGTTGCACCTCAACACCGCATGTAAGTTGCACTGAGGTCAGTACAGGCACAGAACGCACTGTGGGTAGAGGACCTCAGTATCCATCATCAATTGGTTAATGGCTGCAATAGACAGTGACAGAAAGTCCCCTTTGACCTCTTTCCTGTCGATGATGGCATTGGTAGGAAGAACAAATTACATAGTCCTCCTGAATAGGTAGCACGTTTTGTAACACTACCAATGTATTGAATGGAATAGAAAGGATCTAGAAGCTCAAAACTGGGCACCCATGAGGGACTCTCAGCAATCGGGAACAGAAGAAGCATATTCGCCATAAACAGTAACCTCCCATGTCCAGTCCTTGTGCTGATGGGCAATTCAGCAACTAGCAACAGGAGGGTCCTTGAACATCTCCATCTTCAATTATGGTACAATCCAGAAAGAAAATGCAAAAGGATGAATCATTTGCAAACATCTTTAACCAGAAGTTTTGAGTACAGAGTTAATAAAAGATATTCTATTCTATTCTATCAGAATAAAACCATGGCATACTTTCATGGTCTCAACTATATTTTATGGTCAAATCTTCAAATCCATTCATTTCGAAGACTATTTCAATCTAAGCCTCAAATATACATTTGAAGCTCAGAGTGTAGAGAATTCTGAGAGACTGCTAAACTTGCATGGTGAAGAGATTTCTCCTCGTCGCAGCTCCAATTAGCTAACATCTTTATCCTGAAGCTACACCCCCTAGTTGTAGACTTTCCAGTAAGGGAAATTGTTTCTCAGCAATTGCGTAGGCCTATATCGATATCAGGAATAATCACAGCATATTTTAATGAGGTACTAGATGGGGAGACAAAATTCTTGCTAGGCAGCAGTGAGTTGCCTACTAAAGCCATTTCTTGTTAATGACCTCAAGAACAGCAGAATTCACCTCATTAATATGCAGCTTTCTATCATACCATCTGCTGCAAGCAAATGAGACACTGAGAATTCTGGACTTGGAATTCAGAGTGGATACTGAGTGTATTCAACCCACTGTTGGCTGCAAAAAGCCTCCATGTTGGTCATCAGTACCTCTGAATATGCTCCATGGGCACTGACCATACACAGCCCATGTCCATGGATATTGGCACCAGACATGTGCTAATCTTTACGAATTCTCATGGCACGTCTCCTACCCACTTATAGTATGCTTCTGTACTACAATGCTATACCTCAAGGTGCAAAGGCAATGATAGTTGGAGTGCTGCAGCAAGGATAATTGACACTCAGGGTCAGACATCCAGGGCATGCACTGGACCAGGCTGCATCGCAGCATGCTGTCTTAGTGTTAACTCACTTTTGAGCTCACCACATCCATGCCTTGTCCCTAAGCTCACAGTATTGCTGTATTGGTGTGCTATTTAGCATAGACACAAAGCCAGGAAAGTTGCCATCTTTGTCAGCAGTCCTCAGTCAAGTCAAGGAAGATAGCCTTTAGTCAGTGGGCCCTGGCAGAGTAAGTCAAGGGCAGCCTCCAATTCCAAGCCAGGGACATGGATTTGGTCAGTCAATGGCTTGGGGTGCTGCCTGCCTGCAAATCAACTTGCCAATTTCTACTTCTCTGCTAAAATCAGGAGGAAAATTCAAGACTGTGCAGGACAGCTCTGAATCCTTCACTTTCAACATCTGTGGAGGCTATCAATTTGCTGTCAACCCCAAGATACGCAGCAAAGCAAGTTGGGAAGAGGACATATGTAAACTATGAAGGGACATAGATAAGTTAATGAATAGGCAAAGGTCTAACAAGTGGAGTATAATGTGATAAACTGACCACTTCAGCAAGAATAACAGCAAAAAAGCAAAGCATCTAAATTATGACAAATCATAAAGCTCAGCGACGCAGAAAGATGAGTGTCCAAACACATGAATTGCAAAAGGGCATGATGCAAGTGCACCAAGTAATTAGAAAAGCTATTTGACTGTTACTGATTATTGCGAGGAGAATTAAGTATAAAAGCAGGGATGGTATGAGTCAAATTTGCATGGCAGTGGCTGATTCCAGCAAATATGACTGGAGAAGAGATGTGGGGTGCAAACTAAAAAAGGAATTACCTGAAAGGGTAGACAGAAAGATGGGCTGGTTGCAAAGGAAAGCTAGGCATGGTTGTTGAGGGCACTGGAAAAATCATAGGGAATGGATGGAGCACACTGGGATGCAAAGGGTCAGTTCTAATCATAGCAACAACAGGGATAATGAAGGGCTGGAGCTAAATATTAATGGTGGAAAACACAATGGGCTAATCAGGTGTGCATGGCTGCCTCGCTTGGGGCAGAGAGAGAAAATAGTGGAACTATATAAGGGGGAGTTGCAAGGATAAGGCTAGACATGGAGACCTCATTGGGACTGTAAATCAGACGAACTGCACAAATCATGGGAGATAGTAAAAGAGACAATAGTCATGGGGGAGACTGAGAAAGGACAGATAGGATGGATTTTTTAAAAAAATCACTGTGGGACGTGGGCAACACTAGCTGCGCCAGTATTTATTGCTCATTCTAGTCACCCTTGAGGAGATGGTGATGAGCTGCCTTCATGAACCTTCACTCGCAGATGAGAGGAGGAGGTCAGTAAGTTTTATGGGGAGGTAGAAGGTACAGGATGAAAGACTTCAAAGTAAATTTAACTACAATCATGCTTTCCAACAGTGTTTTCCAGGATAATTACTCTGAAAGACTGTGCAGTGCAGAACTGAGGAGCCACAGAACCGTTTGTATGTCTTACTGCATAGATAAACCACACCTAACTGAGGCAACTTTTTCACTTGAACTTTAGATTAAGTGTACATGTAGTAAGCTAAGTTGAATGTAAGGGAGGGGAAAGAAAAACATCACTGCACAGTCAAGTCAAGTAGGATCTTAAAGCCGCAAAGAGTCATTTCCCAACCATGTACTATTACATGTGAACCTTTGACAATAACAGCATCTCTCAATCACCTTCAGTGCTAATGGTGCTGAGAGGGGTTATAGTGCAATGAACCATGCATGACAATTGAGAGGCTCTTGCATACCAGAGTTATAGACGTGGTGATAAAACTTATGTAGGCTGCATGTTGCAAGATGCAGAGATAATGCAGAGTAGAAACAGTAACATTGTGCTAATTGGCATATGTGTAGAAAGCAATATCAAGAGAAAGTAGACACTTAGCTTGCACTTGGCAGAATTAGGAATGAGAACACCAGTCACAAGTCACAGATGATGCACTGAGGTGGCAGTAGGGCATGTTTTTACCTCATACATTAGCAGCCTGATAGAAATCAGAAGTCAGACCGATCATATCAAGATCTCAAATGGAAAACTTTGATCTCACACTTATTTTTCTTCACATATCAGTACATCCATGTCACATGTTTTATTTACCTTACCAAACAGCTGACTCAGCATTGATAGGAAGAAGGAAATGAAGAAGAGAAAGCAAGGACCACAGAATCAGAGACAAGACACTCAGGGCGCTGCATCTGTGGAACCGCAAGCATTGCATGGAGTGGAACCAGACTCTTCAATGACATTGAATTACTTTGAAAGAGTGCACACAATGTGTCCAGCTACCTGCAGATGAGTGAGAGGCAGTATTGCAGGCATCTTCACATGACTAGAGAATGCTATCTACATATGCTACCACCTCCAGGCAGATCTGTAAATGATTGGCTTGGGAGGAAATGTTATTATAGCAGTGCTGAAGATTAGAGTGATGCTGATGTCTTGAAATTCTGAAGAAGGGTCACTGGACTTGAAACGTTAACTTGGCTTTCTCTCCACTGGTGCTGCAGACCGGTTGCATTTCTCCAGCAATTTCTGTTTTTGTTTCAGATCTTCAGTATCCACAATTCTGTTTTAATTATTGAACTTCCTAGCCACTGACTCCATTCCTGGCTCTGCCAGGGACATGTGGTATCTCCAAATCAACCCACAAGAACAATCAGGAGTTCACGAGTCCTCTTACAGAAAATCAGTACAGTTGGTCCTGTTTACCATGGAACCAGAACAGGTAGGTGCCAGAACTGTCAGATTTGCTGCCATTGTTGGGTTCCCTCAGATGCCAGGAGCCAGATTGCACATGTGGCACTGGGAACTCCCAGGCATGAAACAACCAGGTTCCTCAACAGATGATACTCCCTCAATGGTTAGTGCATTTGTTACCACAGACAACAATTCCTGTAGTTGTACACCTGCTATTCAGTGAGCTGTCACAACATACCAAACTCCCAGATTCCCAGAATGTCTGTCTGCACCAATATCATCTCCAGGGCTGGACTGTGACTAATGATTCCAGTGTAAAACCATCAGATTGATGCCCATAGGGCTATCAGTGAGTAGACAACTGGTCTTCTGAAGATCATTTTCATTGTCTGGACTGCTCAGGAGGAGCACCCCGGTACTCATCAGACAAAGTCCCCAGAATAAAACATAACTCAACAACAGGAGTGAAAATCTAGAAGTAGGGGCATTGGACCACCTATCTAACTCCTGATACAAGGAAAGAGTAAAACAATCTGATAAAGATACTGAAGGAGACAATGCCGTTGATCAGGATACTGAAGAAGCCAGGGCAGTAGTGAAACAAGACAGACAGGCCAGGACAAACTGACAATGGCTATACGTGATAATGATTTTTCTTTTTAATTTAACGATGGAATGTGGGGCATGTGTGTTGCTAGGCCAGCTTTTATTGCCTGTCCCTCGTTGCCCATGAGAAGATGGTGGTGAGTTGCCTTCTTAAATTGCAATTACTACAAGTATAATGTGGTATTCCAAGCACATACAATTAACTTTACCATACTTGGAAGACCTCAAGGATATGGCACATGGCTTATGGATTATACTTGGACCTGATATTAAATGGCATTGATTATCTTAAAAATGACTGCTAGCATCACCAGGAATAGAATTTTTCCATATTATGGCATCAGTCGGATTTGCCCCATATGGATCCACATTTTGGGTTGATCCCTAACAGGTGTTTTAATATAAAAGATATCATCTGCTTGTTGTAACAGATTAGCTAGAGTTTTGAACATTTCACTTGGTTTCTTTTACTTTTTTCTTGAACTGCGCAATCCATGTGCTGTAGGTAGTTCCACAATACTGTTAGGGAAAGAATTCCACTGAGATATATTTCCAAGTGAGGATGATGAGTGGCTTAGAGGGGAATTTACGGTTGCTAGTATGCTCATGTATCTGCTGCCCTTGCCCTTATAAATGGTTGAGGTTGTAGATTTGAAAGATACTGCCTAAGGATCTTCGGTGAATTTCTTCGTGCATCTTTTAGGTGATACACAATGTTGCTACTGTACCTCAATGGTAGAAGGAGTGGATATGGTGCCAGTCAACTCGGCTGCTTTGCCCTGGATGGTGTCAAGCTTCTTGACCGTTGTTGGAGCTGCACCCATCCAGGGAAGTGGGGAGTATTCCATCACACTCCTCACTTATGCCGTGTATACAATGAACAGGTTTTCGGGAGCCAGGAGATGAGTTATTTGCTGCAGTATTCCTAGACTTTGACCTGCCCTTATTGTTACTGCATTTATATGGCTAGACCAGTTCAGTTTATAGTCAACGGTAACCGGCCCCATGATTGCCACGCTGAGCCAACGAAAGACCGCCACACCAGGTGAGTGCTAAGTCCGAGTCCACGCTGAGGCCAGAAGTCCAAGTCCGTGCTGAGGCCAGGTGGTCAGAACATTGCCAAGAAGAAAGAAAGGATTCAAGACACAAAAGAGGAAAAAAAAGAAAAAGAAACAGGTGGAGCAGATGAGCCCTGGGTGAAGTGTCCTATTCCGCTGCCATCTTGGCATCTTTGGAATCAGTGTGCACCATCTATATGATGTACAGCTATAATCACCAAGCTTCCTTGCACTGTATCTTTGTGCAATCGCTACCATTCAAAAGGACTACAGCAGCAGATGTATGGAATACCTGCACGTGTAAATTTTCTCTAAGCCACATCATCCTTACTTGGAACAATACTGCTGTTTCTTAACTATCACTGAGTCAAGATCTTGGAACTACCTTTCTATCAGCACTGTGGATTTAACAACATGACATGCACTGCAGTAATCCAAGAAGTCAGCTCACCCTCTCAAGGGCAATTAGGGATAGGCTGCAAATGTGTCTTGTAAAAGAATATCACTTTGTTTATTCACATTCTGTGCTTAATACGTATTTGGTTGCAAATATACTTTCTTTTCACTTTTTCTATTATAGATCAATTCATTAAAACAACCCTATAAATACAAATGGACCAGTCTGCTCAGGAACAGGATTTATTATGCTCTGTGGCTAACAACGTTTGCTTTTGCTAATTCAACTTACATGTATCACTTGTTTTTTCCTTCACTTTAGGCAAATAATCTTCATCATCACCATCTCTTTCCTCCCCTCTTCCCACTCTAACAAGCAACTGAATATTGTACCAAATGAATTTAAGTGCATAATATTAAAATACCTGGAGATTTGGTTGGGAAGATAAGAATAGCTGGAGAACGTCTAGTCTACTCCGAATCCTCACTGAAGCTCGTTCAGGTGCAAAGTTCGGGTTCATCAGATCAATGAAAGGATCATTGGTGACATCATTTCCCAGCAAAGTGTAGTAAAAGAAAAATTCAGGTCTCTCCTCTGGAAGCTTTATTGTACTTGGAATTAACTGAGAATAGTACAAAGTTACACTCGAGATTAAATTTCATCAAAGCCAGTTTTGTTGGCACACATAAAAATTACAAACAAACTTTTGGAGCAGTAACTTCAGGACCAAAACTTCAACTGTAAAAATCAGATATAATCAGCAACCTCCTGAAATATATCCATCAGTGGGTGGTATCATTTTAAGACCCATTATGGTTGCACTGTGAGCAGTCATAAGGACTTCCTTTGAGCTTGGCAGTAAACAACAATATATAATTCATGCATTTTGTTGAACTACTATCCCATTACATTCATCAAATGAAGAAGGTGTGACTGTTTCCACATTATTGAAGAACCTGGCTCAACAGTCTGGTCTTAAAATTGTAAATTTGTCTTTGTTCAAAACATATGAATATTAGTAATGAACCACAGGCTGCAGACCAAGTGATGAAAAGTTTAATTAAACTAATTCTGAAGACTTCACCATGAAGGAGTAATTACATTAGCCAACACGCATAATGAAGCACATGTTTCACCAGTATTGCTACATGATTAACATTACTAATCCTAACTTAAGACTAGTACTTTCACCAACCTGCTCTAACTGTGTTGCAAATGCAATGGTCACAGAAAGCATAAAGAAGTCGATGCAGTATTCAGCAGGCCCAATCTGATAATAGCTTTCTTCCTCATTCAGAACCGCAGTCAGAGTCTTGGGGTTCAAATCCAGGATGGGATACGGTAAAGTTTCCAGAACTATAAAATGTATAAATAGTTTAAAAGCAATTTTAATTATTGAGTTTAAGCCAACAGTATTATGACTTTAAGTACTGAATTTGTTCAAATTAGGTTCAAAAGAAAATAAAATGGGCATGATTTACTTACTTTTAAGAACTGGACCTTACATTGTTAGAGATAGTAGGAACTGCAGATGCTGGAGAATCCGAGACAACAAGGTGCAGGGCTGGATGAACACAGCAGGCCGAGCAGCATCATAGGAGCAGAGAGGCTGACGTTTCGGGCCTAGACCCT